TAGTGGGGAGTTAAAGCTTTGACGATGTTGTATAAATGTTGTCACCTGCTGCTTCATAAAGGGGAAGAGGAAGGAAAAGCAGAGAGATACCAGGATGAAGAAAAGAGAACGAACAGAATGTTTTTTGGCGTTTTTTTCAAGCTCACATTCGACCACATATTTTACTTTAGTGCAAGACTGTAAAATGGAGGGGTCGGGTGATAATCTATATTCTTTATGAACGATTCAAACCAATACTGAATTGACTCTACTAAGCAAAGTTATGGTGCGTATCAAAGCCCTGACTACATGCTTCTTGCGCGCTCTGTGCCACAGGAGCGTCCATGTTGTCCAAAGCAGACTATTGAACAAACACTCAGTGAGACCAACAGGGGTGAACATGTTCCTGCCATTACTATCAACACACACACTGGTGAGTTTATTTCCATAATCCACCACAGTAAACTGTCCTGCTGCCACAAATACTCACTAGAGCATTAATGTGGAATTAATCTGCTGCTGAAAACAGTCAAACAAACACACTAATTCCTCCAGTTTGTTTGTTTGATAAAAACTTACAGTAAGAAGCTGGTTGAGGAAATAATTGATCTTGGTGCAGTTGCCAATTACAACTCCGTCAAATGCAAAAATGCATAAAAAACACAAACACCCAAATCTAGAGCCAGTGTTTGGTTTGTCCGTTCTGGGCTACTGTAGAAATTATGGCCAGACTCCATTTAAAAGCGACCCGCAGCGTCTGTAGATAAAAACAGCTCATTCTAATTTGTTAACGAAAACCAAACATTTCCTATAATTCAAGTGACTGTTATCACACTAATGAAAAACATTACCTAATATTATATTCCATTTCTGCAACAGGATCCTCCTAAGACGTTACACACTGGACCTTAAATTATGTTTCTCAATGGCTCGTCTTTCACCAGCCCTCTGTCCATGGTTCTTTCTTTCTCGTTCATTATTTCCAGGTTTGGCTATATAGTAAGTGGTTCTGGTTTGTTGCTTTGTCTGTCAAAGAACTTTGTAAACTCTGTTTTATAGGTGCTGTATATATAAAGTTATTAATATTCTTATTCCATTTTAGCACATGGCCCAACGATCACCTCATCTCAAAAACTGAAGAACTGCTCTAGCACTAGCTCCAAACACTTGTCCATCCTGCCAGTCTCACCATCAAAGGAGAGAAAGTAGAGCT